CTTTCAGAAGAGAAATTTGAATGAATTCACACAACTGAAAATGGATTGTGAATCTTATTGTCATTTTTTCTTTTAGAAAGGTGATTTTGATGTGAACTTATATTGTGCTGGACTATAGATTTTATTGAATAGATGCACTACACCAGGATTTGGAAAGTTCCCCTGTAGGCATGTAGTCCTTACAGTAAAATTATTATTTTTTTCATCTAACGGTATCAGAAAGAATCTTGTAGTTGCCTGTGGTAGAAGATCCAACCCAAACTGGGCAAAACCAGTTTCAAACGAATCTGGTTTGAAACTTCCAAAGGTAAGGTCTGATCCAGAGACTTAGGTTGGAGGGCTCCGGCTTCATTTCCCTGCCTTTCAGTCGGCCCTTCCCCATGTATCACTTTCACCCCCTGTACTGGCTCTTCTCATGGTGACAGCCTTGCTCAGAGCACCACACTAGGGGGAGATGAGTGAGTCTGTCCCAGCACTCTCTCCAGGTACCCCAAGATTCACTCATAATACCTTTCTTTAGCTATGTGCCCACCCCAAACACTCCTTTTTGTCAGGAGAAGAGGATATGCCATCTGAGGCCTGAATTATGTGCTTGTTCCTGAAAAGTTGCTGTTGCTGGGGAGTGGGTTCGGGTAATTGGCGTAAGTCAGCCAGGGCCCACACTTAGAGTTGGGGGCTGCGCCAGTCCCATGCAAATCACATGGCTAAAAACAGGGAGCTGGGGTGATTTCAAAAAGGAAAATTGTGCTTCTATCACAAGGCAGTTAGGGGACTATTTGCTTAGCCACATGGTTAGGGAACAGAATGCTGGCCCAATGATAATAATAATAGCTAACATTTATTAAATACTATGAGCCAGGCACCAAGCTGCTTTACAGTTGTATTGGTTAGAGAATGTGTTTGGCTGCCTGAAATAAGGTAAACGGAACAGCAGGGGCTTAACACAGAGCGCTTGGTTTTTGTCCCACATGATACGAAGCCAGGAGATACACAGTGTCACATTGTCATCCAAGTCTCAAGCTTGCCCCGCCCTCCTGCATCATGGTTTTGCTATTCTCTGTGTGAGGCTTTCCTCCTAGTGTGCACAGGATGGCTGCCCCTCCTCCAGGCATTGTGTCCTGGTTCCAGGCAGAATGGGGGAAGGACAAAAGAGAAGAGGCTTGTGCCAGCTGAGTCTTTTCTTTTTTATCGGGAAAATGGCTTTTCCGGAAGCCTCAACCTGTAGATTTCTGCTTATATCTCAACAGCTAGGACTGTGTCACATGACTCCCCATAGTTGCAAGGGAACCTGGCAAATCAAGTTGTGTTGGCTGAACACTGCCACCTAGAACAAAACTGGGGTTTTATTAGTAAGGAAGAGAGGGAGAATGGACAGTAATGATCAGTGGCTGCTACGATGTGTATTAACCCATTCATTCGTTACGTCAACCCGGTGTGGTTGGTGCTATCCCTAGCCTCGTTTTATAGTTGAAGCAATAGGCACAGAGAGGTTATGTAATTTGCCCAAGCTCACACAGAGCTGTTAAGTGATTGAGCTAGAACTTGAACCCAAGCAAGCTGACTCTAGAATCTTATTCTATTATGTTCCTAGACACATCCTGACCCACTGGCCAGACCACATTTCTTCTCTAGGATGTATATCCACTTGGGAAATGCAGGCCTCTCCTAGAAATGGTAGCTAATACTTGTTTAGCACTTTATAGTTTGCAAAGAGATTGTCGCTTAAATTATTCTCTTTAAATATTCTTTTTTTTTTTTTTTTTTGAGACAGAGTCTCACTCTGTTGCCCAGACTGGAGTGCAGTGGCACGATCTCAGCTCACTGCAACCTCCACCTCCCAGGTTCAAGCGATTCTCATGCCTCAGCCTCCAGAGTAGCTGGGACTATAGGCGCACACCACCATGCCTGGCTAATTTTTGTATTTTTAGTAGAGACGGGGCTTTACTGTGTTGTCCAGACTGGTCTCAAACTCCTGGCCTCAAGTGATCCACCTGCCTTGGCCTTTCGAAGAACTGGGATTACAGGTGTGAGCTACAGCGCCCGGCCTATTCTCATTTTTAAAATGAGGAAACTGAGGTCTAGAAGAGTTATGTAAGTTGCCTAAGGTCCTCAGGTTGAAAGTGGCAGAGCTGATATTTCCTCAAAATTATAAAAACTTACTCCTGTTTCCCTTCCTTAATCTTCCTATTCTTCTCTGCACACAGGAGTTCATTTCTAGTTTTTTAAAATGACAGTATTTCACTCTAGGCCCTATATTAACTTCATAACCTTCTCAGAAAACCAATCCAGAGAAATCTTGGCTGTCTCGCCTACTTGTTTTCACATAGGCCACCAGCAGGAATGTGGCACATCAGTGGGAAATGTGACAGAAGTAAGTAACAAAGGAGGCCTGGAAAGGGAGGTGGTTTTTCTCTCACATCATATAAAATCCAGAGCTTCCGGCAGAAACTGAAAGTGTTAATTACAAATAGCTCTTATTGACCTGCTAAAGAGTTATTAAACATATAGACATTGTCATTCGTTACATCAGATTAATTTGTTACTTTTCTTTAAAACTATTTCATAAATTGAACTTGTCACCGAGTAAGAATTGACAGCCCACTTCACTGGGATGAATTAGAGAAGTTTCACTATATTACTGACACGCCAGTTTGCTTATGATTATTATTTCTCTCGTTCTTTCCCAAGTCTTTGAAATCTTTAGCTTTTGGCATTGCCGTAGTTACATATCACAACATTCTTTTGTTTTGGCCTTACTACTGAGTAAACCATAAAAATTGCAAGATCATTGTAGAATTAATACATTTTAGGGAGACGTGAGAGTTCAGTCAAATATATTTAAGAAATACATTGGTTCAGTTCAGAAAGGCATGACAACTCGAAGCAAGGGGGAGGAGGGGGAGTGGCTTCTGGGTTATAGGTAGATTGAAAAATGTTCTACTTGACAATTGGTTGAGTTTATCCAAAGACCTGGGATCACTAGAAAGGAGATGTCTGGGTTAAGGGACTGTGGAGACCAAAGTTCTTATTGTGTAGATAGATGAAGCCTTCAGGTAGCAGGCTTCAGAGAGGACAGATTGTAAATGTTTCTTATCCGACCTAAGGTCTGTGCTCATATTAACACTGGAGAGGTATAATGAGGCACGTTGGATCCCTGCTTCTCGTCATGGCCTGAACCAGTCTTTCAGGTTAAATTTTAAAGTGCCCTGGCCTAGGAAGAAGTCCATTCCAATGGTTGGGCGAGGGGGGGGGGGGCGGGGGGGATGGGAGGTTAAATTTTTTCTTTTGGTTTACACTCCAAAAGCTATGAATGAGGCCAGGTGTGGTGGCTCACGCCTGTAATTCCAGTGCTTTGGGAGCCCAAGAATTTGAGACCAGCCTGGGCAAGATGGTGAAACCCCATCTCTATAAAAAATAAAAAAATTAGCCGAGTGTGGTGGCAGGCACCTGTAGTCCCAGCTACTTGGGAGGCTGAGCGAGGAGGATTACTTGAGCCCAGGAGGTGGAGGCTACAGCGAGCTATGATCGTGCCACTGCACTCCAGCCTGGGCGCGATCATAGTTCACTCTCGACAGAGTGAGACCCTGTCTCAAACAAATAAAAATAAATAAAAAGAGTACTATGTTACAGAGCAGTGCCACTCAAAGCGTGCTTCACTGTCACCTGGGAGCTTATTAGAAATGCAGCTTCACAGCCCCACCCCAGACCTACTGAATCAGGTTGGGATTCAGCAGGGATTGGGCCCAGGAATCTGTGTTTGGACAAGATCCCTAGGTGACTTGTAAGTGCATTAAAGTTTGCGAAGTGCTGTTTTAGAGTTTTACGCAAGTGAGTTGTAGGACTGACAGATTGTGCACCTTTTAAATACTGGTGAAAATAAGAGCTTCGGCTTTAGTAAAGTAGACCTGTATTGAATCCTGGATTCTCCTTGGAAAATCTCCCAATCCTAGTCTCCAGTTAGCTACTCCAGGTCACGTGCTCAAGTGTATGCTTGACTCCATCCCCTATCAACACCTTCACCTAGTTAATCCACATTCAACCTTCCACTGTCAGGTCAAAGATGACTTCCTCAGAGAAGCCTCTGCTCAACCTCCCACCTCACTCTCATAAAATGAATACTTGTCCTTTGCAATTTCACACTTAGGATTATTTGATTAATGTTTACTTCTCCTACTAGCCTATAAGCTTTAGGAAGGAAGAGGCCTTATCAGTTTTGCTAACTGGTATGTCCTCAGGGTATAGAACAGTATCTGGCACATAATAGATGCTCAACAAATATTTATTTAATGAATATATGAATGAAACCAAGCCAGGAATAAGTGCACAAAAGAAAATGCTCTGAAAGTTTTTTCCAAAGACTTCTCTATAAACTCTTAATCATCTAAGGCAGTAATAGGGTTTCGAAAAGAAAGCCCTGGATATTTTCCAGGCCTTGTTTTTTTGTTTTTTGTTTTGGCCGGGGCCGGAGGTGGGGGCATGGAACAGGGTCTTACTCTGTCGCCCAGGCTGGAGTGCAGTGGCACTATCTCAGCTCACTGCAACCTCTGCCTCCCGGGTTCAAGTGATTTTCCTGCCTCAGCCTCCTAAGTAGCTGGGATTACAGGTGCCTGCCACCATGCCCATCTAATTTTTGTATTTTTAGTAGAGACAGGGTTTCACTATGTTGGCCAGGCTGGTCTCGAACTTCTGACCTCAGGTGATCTACCCGCCTTGGCCTCCCAAAGTGCTGGGATTACAGGCATGAGCCACCGTGCCTGGCCCAGGCCTTGTTTTATCAACATTCCTCCAAGAAACAAACTTTTCTTTGTTTACCATGTTCATGAACACAAAAATGGTTGACAGGGATGCAATGGTGACAAAAAGAAAGCTGGAATCTGCCTTTCAATAAGCAAGAAATAGTCCTCTCATCCAGGTCATGTCATCCACGTTCCATTGGCAGATATTGTCATATCTGCATCCTACATTGTGAGGTCACCAAGGCAACCTATTGATCATTCTAGAATCTACCTCTTGAAGATTCCAAATGAGACTGGGAAACCCTCTTCAATAAGACCTGTGTGATGATAGATTGTGTCCTGAGCCTGCAGGTCAGGCTGAAAGAGTCAACAACCAGCAAAGTGAAGATCTAGGAGGCTGTTCCCCTTGAACCTGTGTGAACCTAATCAAACCTCGACGGAAAGGTAAGAGCACTCAGTGGACCAGGTGAATTGAGGGTGATCTGGGTAGGCATGGGGCAGTGATCAAAAGTTAACCTGTGGCCTCTGACAGTTTAGTTGTTTAGCCCAACTCTTGTGGTCTTTATGTTTTATGTATGAAGTTTGTTATGTTTTAATATATGCGTATGAGGTGGAATTGGGTCGCCTTGATGTACTGGAAAAAGTTCTGGTCACTGAATCACAAGACTGTGACTTTGGGGAGGCCACCTAACTTCTCTGGGCAATGGTTTCCTCTCCTATAAAATGAAGATGTCTGAGGGCCTTTCTGGACAAGTCCAAAGGATCAGAGTATCTTACATTTCAGGCTCAGCTGTTAACAGAGCTCTGGGCAGAGAACCTCATGATGGTCTTGCAGAGTGACTCCATTCTCTGCCGAGATCAGTTTTGCCCAATTCCCAGTGCTTTAACATGAGAGGGAGTTGCATCAGTGTGTAGTCTTTGTTTTACTTTTATTCTTGGAATGGCAGATTGTAGCTCCTGCAGAAAGAAAAGAAGAAGAAATAAGGAATTACAAAATTGCTCTACATTGACTCATGCTAGATGTCAATCTGAGATACATGGAAAACGTAAGCACATACGAGATAAAGAAACAGATTGTGGCAATATTTAAAAATATCCTAGCTTTCTAAATTAGAAGCAGTTTTGATAAGCCTATTTGGAATTCATGTGAAACATCCATAACTCTGACAATCTGAACTGTACATGGCAAAGGTAAATTGCTTCTAGGCAGTAATTCTAGGTGTAGGTTTAGAGGGACTATACTCAAATCTCCGTTGCTTTATAGATAGCCCTCACTCCTTGGCCTCTTACTTTCCAGATTGCTTCTTTGTTAGCCTCCCTGTTGGCTCCTTCCTCTTTTCATTCTCTTTAATGTCTCTATTCCCCAGTGTTCTGCTTTTGCCTCTATAGCCTTACTCTACAAGCTCTCCCTGGCTATTTTATCTTCTCTAATCACTTCAGCTATTGTCAGCAACCTCATGACCTATTTAATCTGACTCTCCAGTCCTGATTTATTTCCTGAGCTCCAAACCCAGACTTCTACTGCCTATGGGATATTTCAACAGTGAGGTCTCACAAGTACTGAAATTTAGCATACCGCTAACCAAACTCATGATTTTTCTCCACCATAAACTCACTTGTCCCCCTTCATGTCCAACTCTTGTACCCTTTAATACCCTATTGCAATGAATATCATCATCTCCTATACTGTAAATTACAAGAAGGCAGAGACCATGTCTATCTTGTCCACCCCTTGTAACCACAGCACCTAGTATAGTGCCTGGCGCATGGTAGACACCCAGTAAATATTGTTGAGTAAATGATGAATCTATTTATTTTTCCAAACTAAAACCCTTGGAATCCCCCTCAATATCTATTTCCCCCTCACTCTCCATGCCCAGTCTGAGACCTGTGGGGTTTATTACATAAAACACTTTTACATTTGGCTCCTCCTTCCCCTTCATCCCCTCTGCCATGACTTGAATTCAGCCCTTACCATCTATCTCCTGGATTATTGCAGGAGCCTCCTCATTGGTCTTCCTGTTACCTGCTTTTCCCCATTCATCACCATCTGATCCCCAGAGTGATCTTGCACCTTGAATCTAATCAGCTTACCCTCAGGCTCCCCTTGACTTAAACAGAGTTTGCAATCTGGCAGCTTTAAGAGGAATCCACGCAGTCTGTACGGCGTTTTGAGAAAATGAGAATGACTGTATTTTGTTGATTCTAAGATGTATATTTTTTTTTCACATTTTAGCAGCTCTGATATTGGGATGTGTCTTGAAATGGACAGTGTCATAGTTTGATCAGTGGTGGTGTTCTCTCTTATCGGTACATAAAACAGCAGTGCACCCTATAATCAGTGGCTTCATAAATTTGCTGAAATATACTCATGCTAACATTTAAAAATAAGGAGATCATACATACAACTATCTTCAGCTTCTCTTGGAAAATTACATCAGGCAACACTGGGCTGTGATTTCTGGATAGCAGCCGAAGATGGAGCTACCAGTAAGTAGCAGCTACCTCATTTAGACAAAAACTCGCTACAGTGTCTCATGGTTTCCGCCCAGGCTGCTTTAGTCATTTGTATTATCTGCCCTAGCCCATTAAGCATTTGAAAGGACAATCCCTGACTGATAAGTTGAAGTCCAGACTCTTTGCTGTGATTTATAAGAACACACAGGTGGCACCAACCTACCTCCCCCAGGTTAATGCTCCCAACCTTTGCTCTGTACTCCCTCTATCCCCCAATCTCGAATATAATGGGCTCCCATGTTCCCTGGAATGTCTTTCTCCATCTTTTATGCCCTGTGAAACATTTTCTGGCGTTCCCAGGTCGAGCTCATTTCTTTCTGGACTCCAGTAGTACATGGGCGTGTCTCTGCAAAAACTGCAGTTACTTTTCCACTAACCTAAAGTACAGTTCTGTGGTGTTTTTTTGTTTTTTGTTTTTTGTTTTTTGAGATGGAGTTTCTCCCTTGTTGCCCAGGCTGGAGTGCAATGGCACAACCTTGGCTCACCGCAACCTCCGCCTCCCGGGTTCAAGGGATTCTCTTGCCTTGGCCTCCCAAGTAGCTGGGATTACAGGTGCCCACCACCACGCCTGGCTAATTTTTTGTATTTTTAGTAGAGATACAGTTTCACTGTTTTGGTCAGGCTGTTCTTGAACTCCTGACCTCAGGTGATCCACCACCTCGGCCTCCCAAAGTGCTGGGATTACAGGCGTGAGCCACCATGCCCGGCCAGTTCTGCGAATTTTAACACATGGATAGATTAGCATAACCACTGTCATCATCAGGATACAGAACCTGCCCCCCCAAAACTCCCTCCTGCTAGCCCTTTGTAGTCACTCCCCTCCCTCACCCATAAACCCCTGGTAACCGCTGATCAGTTCCCTGTCACTATAGTTCTGTCTTTTTGAGAATGCCATATAACTGTCTGTATCCCTTTCGGCCTAGCCTCTTCCACTCTCATAATGCCTTTGAGACCTATCCAGGTTGTGTGTATCAGCTTCATTCATTTTTATTGCTAAGTAGCATTTCATTGTATGGATGTCCCACAGTTTGTGGGACACTCACTGAAGGACATTTAAGCTCTTTTCAGTGTTTGACCATATGAACCTGTATACACGTTTTTGCATGAATAGAAAATTTTATTTCTCTAGAATAACTACCCAGGAATAGGATTGCTGTCATATGGTAAGTATATGTTCAACTTTATAAGAAAGTACCAAACTCTTGTTCAGAGTGGCTGTACCACTTTGCATTCCTGCCAGCAAAGTGTTAGAGTTCGAGTTGCTCTACATTCTAGCCAGCACTGGATATTGTATTAAAAAAAATTTTTTAGCTGGGCACAGTGGCTCATGCTTATAATGCAAATACTTTGGGAGGCTGAGGCAGGCAGATAGCTACAGACCAGTCTGAACAATGTGGCAAAACTCAGTCCCTACAAAAAAATACAAAAATTAGCCGGGCATGGTGGCATGTGCCTGTGATCCCAACTACTTGGGAGGCTGAGGTGGAAGGATAACTTGAGCCCAGAAAGTCAAAGTTGCAGTGAGCTGTGATTGTGTCACTGTGCTCTAGCCTGGTGACAGAGACCCTGTCTCAACCTCCACCCCCCGACCCAAACTTAGCTATATTCATAGACATATAGTGGTATCTCATGGTTTTAATTTTAATTTCTGCTTCCTTGAATCTGGCCTGGAAGAACTGGAGGGAACAAAAGGTAAACTCACTGTCAGTTCAGTGGTACTTCAAACTCTGATCTGTTTCCTTCATCTGCCTTCTGTTATTTACTTTTCAGAGTCCTCATGTTACTTGTTTATTGCTGTGGAACAGATTACCAAAAAATCTAGTGGCTTAAAACAACGCATGTTTATGATCTTACAGTTTCTGTGGGGCAGAAACCCAGGCGTGGCTTACTTGGGCCCTCTTACTTCAGCATCTGTCGTGAGCTGCTGCACACAATGTGTTGACTGGGCTGCTGTCATCTGAAGGCTTGACTGGGGAGGGATCCACTTCCAAGTCCATATGGTTGTTGGCAAGAGTCAGTTCCTCGTGGTCTGTTTGACTGAGGGCCTTAGTTCCTTGCTGGCTTTTGGCCAGAGACTTCCCCCAGTCCTTTGCCACATGGGCTTCTCCCATGTGGCAGCTTACTTCATTGAAAGCGCAAAAGCTGTGAAGGCCATAGGGTCTGCCAGCAAGACAGAAAGTCACAGTCTTTTATAACCTAGTCATAGAAGTGACATCCCAGTACCATTGCCATGCTCAATTGATTAGAAGCAAGTTTCTGGGTCCAGCCTATGCTGAAGAGGAGGGATGATACAAGGGTGTGAATTGACCAGGAAGAAGGGATCATCAGGGGCAGCTTAGAGTCTGTCTGCCACAGTCCTCAAATAGCTGTTTCATGGATTCTGTCCAGGTTTTATAGCTTTATCCCATGGGAGAGAAAGAGTAGAGTGGGTAGAATGTCCTTTTTCCATCTTACCCAGACCAGAACCTTCTGTGAAGCTTTGATTTGATTTATGAACATTCAGGGTTAATTTAAGGAATTTCTTTAAACTCAAGCCATCAAGAACCAAACTAGGGTTAGATTAAGCAGTGGTCTGAATTAAAATTCTGATATCTATTAATCTATTTATTAAATCACAACCAAGGAAAGCTCAACTTTTATATCTAAGATGGAGCCTTTTGAAAACTGAACTTCCACACCTTAAAACGTGATGGCTGTTTTAGCCTGTCGTTGTGGCTGCTCACCAGGTGACCCCAATAGAAACATTTGGCAAGCACTGACCTTTATGAATTTCTTCCGTTTGATGGTGATTCATAACCCACTTTTAATTTATTTTAATGACTTCCTAATGACTTGCCAGATCTGTCCTCTCTTTTCTCCTACTTAATGTGATTTTTCAGTACCCAGAACTCACCCTTGAAAATATGCTTGATCCTTTTTCTATTTAAGTGAAAAATTACTTGGTATTCCTTCTCTTTACAAGGGAGCAAGCTCTTTAAATTAGAGTCCTTTTATTTTATGTATTTATTTATTTTTTTGTGAGACAAGGTCTTGCTCTGTTGCCCAGGCTGGAGTACAGTGGCTCTGTCATGGCTTACTGTAGCCTCAATCTTGCAGGCTCAAGTGATCCTCCTGCCTCAGTCTCCCAAGTAGCTGGGACAACAGGCATGTCCCACCACACCCAGCTAATATTTTTTTTCTTTCTTTTTTAGTAGAGATGAGGTCTTGCTATGTTTCCCAGGCTGGTCTCCAGCTCATCAGCTCAAGCCATCCTCCCTGCTCAGCCTCCCAAAGTGCTGGGATTACAGGTGTGAGCCACTGCCCCCAGCCTTTTTGAACTTTTTTTGATCATGGACCCCTCACAGTAAGTTTGGTGAGAATGGACCAAGCATATTTATTTATTTACAGCTAATACTGCTGAACTCATTTATTGTGTACATGATCAAATATATATGGAAATAGAAAAGTTAACAGGAATAAGAAAATAGATAAAAATATGAGTTCTGATGTTTTGCTTTCTGCTCTCCAGCAGATCTCTGTGCATCTGCCGTGGGGCAGCTACCCCAGTTTTGGAGACTGCTAGGGGTTAGGAAGTGGTGATTGGGTGTGGTTGCTTGCCAGTGGCCTCAACATCAGGAGGCTAGCTCAGAGTCATCAGAGCTGAGAGGCCAGCCCTCTCTGAGCTTCCCCACTTTGGTGCTACAGGGCTTTGAGGTATCAGGAGCCACAAGCAGAAACCTTAAGTACCCACCACCAAATAGATCTGCACATGCCACTGTTTTCTTAATCTCCTCTCCGGTCTAGCTGCTTTGCCTTGATTCTAGCATACTTCTCAGGGTGTGTCATGATCAATAATGGGAGCTGCCCATTAGAACTACTTTGCCTGGGCAGAAATTGGAACTGTGGCAAGCTCCAGGAAGCTTATGAAATAGGAGAGGCTTGCTTGCAATGCCCTCTCTCTCCCTTGAGAGGTAGTCAGGCTTCTCCATTCCCCTCGTGTTTTCATAGTTTGCTATTGCCATGGACTAACTAAATGTCCTGGGTTGGGATCCCTCAGAAGCAGAGTCTGAGATAAACTTTTGAGAGCAAGTTTATTTGGAAGGCAGGAGCAAAGAAAGTACAGCAGTGGGGAAGTGAGAAAGGAAGGGAAGGCAATCAAGAGAGATTAAGTCCAGCCTGAAGAGGTGGAGAGGGCAGCTGTTTTTTCAGTCTTAACATCAGGGCACCTTTCTCTATGTAATTGCAGCATTATCTTTAGGAAAGAAGTTCATTTTGATTTCTAGTTCCCCTCCTGCGTTTCACACCCTAGTTAAGTACTGTAGAATATGCATAGCTATGAGAACCCCCTCTTCCCACCTCTTTTCCTCTGGCAGATGCCTGATCAGTCATCAGGTCTCCGCCCATGCATCACTTCTAGGAAGCCTTCCCTCATCCCCCTTTCTGAGATAGCGCTCTTTCTCTGCACCCCTGGAGTGTCTCCTACCTGTTTTATTATTTTGTCATACTGTATTGCTTTCATTTATTCATGTAATAGATATTTATTATGTGCCTGGCACTGTTAAAAGTACCTGGTGTGTATATTCCAATATCCAATCATGTATATATTTTGTTCTCTGCCATTTATGTCTCTGTCCCTCAGCAGTGCCTGCCACATAGGAGGTGCTTGCCACATAGGATGGTTTAAAACTGTTAACATCACTCTGCCCGTCATTTTTTCTTTTTTCAGGCTGGAAGAACACATCCCTGGTCAGCTGTAGGAAAGCCAGAGAGCATTTGAGAAGAGGCTGAAGCTTGAATTTTGCAAACACACAAGGTGCTGACTCAGGCAGTAGAGTATAATGATTATAATAAGCAGGGGTTCTAAAGCCAAAGTGCCCGGGGTTCAACTCCCAACTCTGCCCCTCATTTGCTGTTTGATTTTAGGCTACAATTCCTAATGGGTGAAGAGGGATCATAATAGTATATACCTCAGAGGATGGTGTGTGGATTAGATAAGATTAACATATGTAAAATTTAGAAGTGCCTAGAACATGGTCAGTGCTCAATAGATGTTATCATTATTGTGATTTATTCACTTACATCAATGTTGGTTCATGTAACAATTGGAGGCTGACTGTAAGACCCCTTTGGTGCTCACAGTAACATTTCAGTGTTCTTTCTACAATGGAAAAATACAAGGAAGTTGTTCATTTAAAGCAAATTCTGAGTTTTCAACAAATCGCATAAAGGGCACAGCCAATCCAATTCGTGGTCCAGGGGCTGGCCATTAAAATAACAACCTAAATCATGAGGTTTTTTCCCTGCTTTCCTTTCTTTCTGTGGTTAAACAAATATTTGGTGAGTACCTCTTTTGCATTCAGTAATGACTAGGTTTAAAACTGAGGATGTGGCCAGGCGCAGTGGCTCACACCTATAATCCCAGCACTTTGGGAGGCCAAGGTGGATCACCTGAGGCCAGGAATTCGAGACCAGCCTGGCCAACATGCTGAAACCCCATCTCTACTAAAAATACAAAAATTAGCTGGGTGTGGTGGTGTACACCTGTAATCCCAGCTACTCGAGAGGCTGAGGTAGGAGAATCACTTAAGCCCGGGAGGCAGAGGTTGCAGTGAGCCCAGAGTACACTGCTACACAGCCTGGGTGACAGAGTGAGACTCTGTTTCAAAAATAAAACACACACACAACTGGGGATGCCAAGAGGAATGAAATAGATCCTTTCCCTTTAGGATTTCACATGTAAAAGGGCAAATTACAGCACACTTTGAGCAGCTCTATAATTGGACGCACACATGGCTTTGAGAGCCAGAAGACAGAGTGACTAATTCCCCTTTGGTGATTCAGGAAAGGCTTCACACAGAGGAGGTGACATTGGAACAACTGTATCTAGACATAGCCATAATTTAATGGCTGAGGATTGAATAGGCATTTGGTTGGGAGAGCCAGCTGTATAGCTACATTGTCCACTATTTTTTTGGAGCCTGAGTAATTATGCTATCATTTACAATTTGTGTGGCAGCCTCATCAGGTCCTACTTTTGGCGTCCCCACCATGGAAACCTAAGTGGTTGTATTGCCTCATAATGAGGCCCTCTGGTGAGGTTAATATACTAATAGGAGAACAGAAGCCCAGAACCACCTCGCCAGTTGTTTTTCAAGTGACTCCATCCGATTAAATGGCAAACTAGGTAACCACTTTACTAGTAGATCTCCTGTGGCTCTCATTTGCAGAACGGATTTGAGCTAAAGAGCAGCTTGGGTGGGGTTATGAAATGTTTATGGCTGGAGTCCTGTAAATTTTAGCTGGCAAAGCCTAAGACCAGTAAGCTTGAAAACATGTATGCTGTGTCACCAGCTAGGAAGAGTTTGCCAGGGAAACTGCTGGCGGCGCAGCCGCGGTCAGCATGAGACTCTGGGAACAAGACCACTGCTAGATTGCCTCAAACATAGCAGAACTGTGGCTGCTGGCATCCATTACTGCCATGGGCACTTTGAATTTTCAAGTATGTTTTTCTCCTCCCCCAAACTCAGCAACATTACAGGCCAACTTTCCTTTCCCTTTCTGCTGATGAAAGGAGGTAATTCTCCCTTCACAGGTAGGTTCTCCAACAAGGAGCTATTGAACAGCTGGTGGAGTACAAATGTCTTATGACCCAGTGGCTGCTCCCTTAAACCCACACCTTTCTAGAACCAAGGAAGAATGTTTCATTTTTTCACTTCTCTTAATTGTACCAGGTTACTGTAACGTTTTCTAAAAACTATCCTCAGTTTACCTAAAGAATGCTTTTCTGCTCTTATATACTGAAATTCTCTTTTCTATTTTGTACTGATGGCAGATTATTTATGCAAACAATAGCCTGGTCCTGCCCATGCAGAGCCTGGTCCCTTTGGAAGCAGTCACGTGGCCGCTGACTTTGCAGCCCATTACTTGAGTGCATCTCCAGGCCAGGAACAGAGCAGGGTTGGGGCAGAGAGCTGCACTCACCGCCAGCGCACTGTCTCCCAGATTCTTGCTCTGGGCTTGCCTTCCAGGCTGAAAGGCAAAGCAGCCTGGCCCTGTTCTAGTTATTTCTTTGTGTATGAGTGTGTATATATGTTTGTTTATTTAAGAAAGAGCTCTCTCTGCAGAGTAGTGTGTGTGTGTGTGTGTGTGTGTGTGTGTGTGTGTATGTGTGGGGTGCTTCAGAGAGAGCTGAAATTGTACCTCTTTTCTTTCAGACCTCTGCATTTCCCCAGAGAGAAGGTTTTTTTCTTGTCTTCATTTTCTTTGAAACACCTGGGGTGAGGAAAAACCTCTACATTGGCCAAGCAGAAGAAACAGGTAATATGTTTGTTTATTCTTAGGCATTTGGGGCAAGCAGAAGTCTACATCATAAACACATATTGTGTGGCAATGGAACAGGGAATGTGTACTCCTTGGAGTATATCTTACTGCTTTGCAATTTCTCGGAATGATTGTTCTCAAAAATGCTGGTTTTACATCCGTTGCCATCAATTGAAGAAGATGTACAGATGACTTGGCAATCTGAAGGATTGTGGCCTATTTCAAATGAACTTGATATTTGGAAAATCTCCTTGGTCACTTGGGTTGAGAGCTAGAAAATGAGGGAAGGGATCCTTTGAGAAACCCTTCTAGGTCCCCTCAGGGAGTATTCTCCAAACTCCACTGCACACCTTCATATTTAGAAATCTTCCTTTAGTTCTCTTGGCTTCTTGTCATCTTAGAGGTTTCTAGCTATCTGTAAGAATGGAAACAGAATTCCTTACAGTGTTCAAAATTCTCTTTAGTGATTTAGTTCTTATGTGAACTGATCAGATTGGATCCTGAGAACAAGGCATAGCCTTTTAGTGGGCAGACATTTTTGTTCCTTACTGATTAGACAGAGCGAGTCTTCAGTTCTGCCACTAATCAGCCGTGCCAGGGAGTATGTTATTTAACTTCTGAGTCTCAGTTTTTTCATCTGTAACATGGGGATATGATACTACCTTGAAAGTTTGCTGTGAGAGTGAACTGAAATAATAGAAATATAAAGCACCTGCTATGCTGGGTAAGTAATAGTCCCTTAATAAATAGTAGTGATTTTAACTACTATTGTGATTACTGGTATAGCATTCTTTCAGATCTTAGAGCTCTCAAGGGAAAAGAGCCTATCGCTTTGCGACTCTTAAATTATCCCAGAACCTGTAGGTACCCAAAGGGCTTAGTCTTTGGGAGGCCCCAGACAAAGCATTGTGAAGAAAGAGACTTGAACAAACACAGTGGGTCCCCACCCATGCATGGCCCCTCCTAACTCATCAGCTAAAAACAGTTGGTCTTTGTTCAAGCCAGTTTTTTCCCACCACACAGTCCTCAGTACAAGTCGGTAAGATATGGATTATGATCACTGTTTTCTTATGAGGAAACTGAAGTATAGGGGAATTAATGACTAGCTGAGAATTCAAATTCCTGTTGTCTGACTTCTAAACCCAAGGCTCCACTGGGCCAGCATCAGGCCGTTAGGAACAATAGTTCTTGAGATGCTTTACTTCAAAAGGGCCCCTAGCTAGGCTGTTGGGGAAATAGTGGTCAGCTCTTTCTGAGAGATTCACAATGTATGTTCATATATTAAAGGCTCTGAGAAGTCCTGCATTAAAGAAACCTGTTCAACCCTACATCCCCTGAACTTATCATGTGATGGTGGGACCTTTATTTTGGTCTTAGTCCTGGAATCATAAACCACATACAACTCTTCTTCCACAAACATGCTTTGGAAAACCTGGCACCAGGCCAAGCTGTTACCTGATTACAATCACGTCTGATGTACCAGCAGACACTTTCAAACACCTTCTGGTGGTCAGTATAGTTTCCTCCCTTTTCTTATCCTCTCATCTGGCGAGACCCAGGAAGAATCACCAGCTTGGTCTTACAGACCTCCCCTTACTCATTTAAGATCCCAGACATAAGTAATTGCTGCACTGTTCTACTGGAAAGGTAGCGGTGAAAGGGACCTCTCTGGCGCGGGCTGCCAGGAACTCCTCTGCCTCACCCTATGCCTCTTCATTATATTTAGGCCACAGACCTCAGGCTATAAAACCTCTGTGGCAATGAATACCAAGCAGAATGCAATAGGGTGAGCCTGATGAGGCATCTGTTCTCCATGCTAGCACAATCTAAGGGGGAAGAATTATACCTGCCTACTTCACTCCCACTGTGGTGGTCAGGGGTGGGGGTGGAGGGTGTTGGTTCCAGTTGAATGACTATGGGTTCCAGGTCTTCAGGGCTAGAACTAAAGCCAGTTTCTTGCTAAAGCCAACATCTCTAGGAAAAGCTGAATTCTAATATGGGAAACTACGAAACTGACATCTAGAATGCCAGAGGGGGTCGTGTCAGGGTGACTGAGCCAAGGTGTGGGAGTGGGATAGAGATGAGCTTAGAAATCAAATCACCTTAAGAATGGACAAGAACAACTCGGGGAGGCTGGGCTAGTGGTTGGAGGGTGCTTGGTGGCGAAGGTTGGTTTGTCTCCACAGCCTGTCTTTTGTTCTTTCCTTGTATTTTCAGCATTGGAAGGAAGTGAAAGATTAGCATGAAAAAAACTGAAAATTATCAGTTCCACCCACTCACCCCCAACATACACACAGTAAAAACCTTTTAGCGGAAGGCTTTCCTTTTGCAGATTATAAGTGAGTGCCAATGATGAATCATTATTTCATGTTTACTCTTTAAAACCATCCTTGGTGTATATTGGAAGGGACAGCAGCACTGGGCAAGTTTCAAGCTGTTTTTTTGCCACGATCCGCCCAGGGGCTTGTGTTACCCACTAGGACATTCTTGGGCCTTTGTGAACCCTGTGGAAGCCCCCCGCCTCTTTGAGCCTGAGAACCCTTTTCACACCTCAGGGAATCACTTCTTCAGACTTCTTTAATGCACTTAAATGCTAACAGAGGGTGGGAAATGGAAGAAGCTTAGATTTTACCAAGTCATGGAAAATCCCCAATCATTTTTATCAGCTTTACATCAGAGATGCCCTCAAAGGTGCGGCGCACTGCTTACAAACTCACTTCTCTCTCTCCTGGAAGTCCAGGTGGTGTAGTACATGGGAGGGGTAAGTGGCACCTTGCTTGAACCAGCTCATAGTTTGGTGACAATGAAAAAGAACTGACTTTTTTTTATAACCCATTACCTGAGAGAAAAACAGTTAAAAAAATAAATTGGTAATATTTATTTAATAATGTAAAAATTATAATAGCCAATTTTTTTTCTAATGGATAATCAAAAAATTCTAGAACAATCATCACGTCTTTCCATCATGATTTAAAAACTTTCTTTAAAAATGATGTATGAGTACTACCCCTTTCTGATTTAATAAAATGCTTTTGTATAATTGAATAGCACATACCTGTGCACAAAATGATGCATTAATAATGACTTTTAGCAACTGCATTTTTAAAGGACTCTGGCCTAGAAATATTGATTCCTTTGTTCATTCATTCATTCATTTAGCATTATCCAACATCTGCAATATGGAAGACACCATGTAGGTGCCAGAGATTCAAGGGCTATTTAGGAAGTTGCCCGTGGGGCTAATAGTCTAACAGAAATATACTCAAGTTTGATGCGCTTTAGTTCTTAGTGAATCTTTTATATGAAATTGTGTTTGTTGTGTAATTTTGTTTGTTGTGGATTAACTGAGGGGTGACCGAAAACCAAATGCCTCTGGAGGGACATTGAGACATTGCTTTTTTTTTTCTGGAAAAGGAAAATCGAAATTGAAATATATCAATCAGTCCAATCAGTGTTTAAGGCCTACTAAATGCTCAATTCTTTTTTTTCCCTGTTTTCTTTTTTAAATTAAAAAATATACTTTTTTTTAAGTCAGGGTTTCACTCTGTCGCCCAGGCTGGAGTGCAGTGGTGTGATCACGGCTCGCTGCAGCTTTGACCTCCCAGGCTCAGGTGATCCTCCCACCTCAGCCTCCTGAGTAGCTGGGACTACAGGTGGGCACCACCACGCCCAGCTGATTTTTTGTATTTTTTGGTAGAGATGGGGTCTCCCTATGATGCCCAGGCTGGTCTCGAACTCCTGGGCTCAAAGGATCCATCTGCCTCAGCCTCCCAAAGTGCTAGGATTATGAGTGAGAGCCACTGCACCCAGCCCCAATTCTTATGTCTTCATAAAAAGGGGTAGAAAAAATAGCATGAGGATGGAGCAAAGCCCAAGGGAGATTTGGATGCTGTTGGAAAATAGTGTTTCTCCAACTGAGATATGGGGATTGCTTGCATCAAAGTTCCTGGCACGGTGCACTTTAAATGCATATTCCAAGGCCCTGGACTTTTGAATCTGAGTATTGTTGGTAAAGCCTGGGAATCTGCATCCCCCCACCCCCAATAAGTCTTGTGAGCACTCAAGTTGGAGAGCACTGATCTAGGTACCTGGAGAATGTCACCAGGACTAGATGAATTCCTAGATGAACAGTGCCCCAATTTCAAAAATGAGAAAAGAGTATATGCTAGAAGCTACAGACTCATTGGCCTGACACGACCTCTGGAAAAATTCAGCTTGAAATAGATGGAGCCAAAGCATTTCTAGGAAAATGTGATCATCACTATGCAGCACCATGGGTTTGCTAAAATACCATCTCTATTAGAGATTGTCAAACTTTGCTGTGTATTAGAATCTAGAAAACTGGGGAAAAAAAATCTTGATGCCCAATCCCCCACCCAGTACCAATTACGTCAAATTCTCTGGAGGTGGTACTTGAGCATCAGTATTTTTTAAACCCCAAGAGATTCTGACTTAATGAGGTGCAGGCTGAGTACTGGGAGTTTGAAAAGCTCCCCAGGTGACACTCATGTGCAACGAAGTATGACAACCACAGGTCTATATGACATGGGACAAGTTGTTTAACTTCCCTGCACTTTGTGTGAATACTAGGTAATTTTAAAGGTCTCTCTCACCTTTAAACTTCTATGATTTTGTTATTAAAAATCTTGCCAAATTTATTTCCTTCCTTCCTTCCTTCCTCCTCTGCCCTTCCTTCCTTTTCTCCTCCTCCTTTCCTCTCTCTTCTTTTGCTGGAATAAGCTGGAATGTCAAAGTATCAAAATACATACATATCATCATTTTATTAAAACATTTAGTAAAATCCTCCAGGATGTCTCACAGATAAATGAAAGTTATGATAGGTGAGTTTACCAGCTAACTGAACAAATGTACTCAGCTAGTCTGAAGGTGATGGATCTCTGGTGAACCTGGAGGATGGTTTGGAGTGGAATGCTGCAGGGCTCATCCTGCCCTTGGATCTGACCTTGTTAATGTTCTTTAGTCATGACGTAGATAAGGAAGACACGAAAGAAATGCTTATCAAATTTGGAAACAGAGCCAAGCACAGTGGCTCATGCCTGTAATCCCAGCACTTTGGGAGGCTGAGGTGGGCACGTTGCTTGAGGCCAGGAGTTTGAGACCAACTTGGGCAACATGGTGAGACCCCGTGTCTACAAAAAAGTGCAAAAATTAGCTGGGCATGGTGGTGCATGCCTGTAGTTCCAGCTGCTCAGGAGGCTGAGGTAGGAGAATCACTTGAGGCTGGGAGGTGGAGGCTGCAGTGAGTCATGGTTGCATTACCCAGCCTGGGTGACAGAGCAGGATCTTGTCTCAAAAAATAAATAAAAATTTCGAAATAACCCAAAGTTTAGGAGGGCTAATTAATTCAATACATAAAATAATCAGGTTCACCTCTGGTCAGAAAATCTGTTTATTAAGCTTATTGTTATGTTCAAAACATTGCCATAGTTCAAATATTTTGCTTATTTTAGTTTTCCCTTTCTTTAGTCGAGTTGAAATTTTGAAGTTTTTGGTGTAGTACTAATGGAAAGATAGCTATGTCAGTTGTTTGCTGACTTTGTTCCTGTCAAGACATGCAGAAAGGGCTGGGCAAGATGGCTCACACCTGTGATCCCAGCACTTTGGGAGGACCAGGTCAGAGGATCACTTGAGCCCAGGAGTTTGAGACCGGCCTCGGCAACATAGGGAGACCCTGTCTCTACAAAAGAATAAAATTAGCCGGGTGTCACGGCACATGCTTGGGAAGTTAAGGCTGCAGTGAGCCGTGATTGTGCCACTACACTCTATCCTGGGTGACAGAGTGAGACCCTGTCTGGAAAAAAAAAAAAAAGAATGCAAATATATTAGATCAGGTTGGTTTGGAGCATCACAAAATAAAGGAGACATCACCCTAAAAAGTGACGTGACAGTATAATATGGAAAGGAATTTTGTTGAAAACTCCCATCAAGTGATTATGGGAGTCAGGAAGCTCCTGAGAAGGACTACAGAACACGAGGTTAGACTCCAGAGGGGCCTCAGCAGTGCCCAGAGAGCTTGTTTAAAAGGACATTCTTGGCCGGGCATGGTGGCTCATGCCTATAATCCCAGCACTTTGGGAGGCCGAGGCAGGTGGATCACCTGAGGTCAGGAGTTCGAGACCATCCTGGCCAACACAGCAAAACCCCATCTCTACTAAAAATACAAAAATTAGCCAGGTGTGGTGGCACATGCCTGTAATCCCATCTACTAGTGAGGCTGAGGCAGGAGGATCACCTGAGCCTGGGAGGTCGAGGCCGTAGTGAGCCGTGATCACACCACTGTACTCTAGTCTGAGTGACAGAGCGAGACTCCATCTCAAATAATAAATAAAAGGGCACTCTCACAGATTACGATTCCTCAATTTGGGGGGAGGTTTCGAGTCTCCCTTTTTTTTTTTTTTTTTGAGATGGAGTCTTGCTCTGTCGCCCAGGCTGGAGTGCAGTGGCGCCATCTCGGCTCACTGCAACCTCCACCTCCTGGGTTCAAGCAATTCTCCTGCCTCAGCCTCCCGAGTAGCTGGGATTACAGGCATGCGCCACCATGCCCGACTAATTTTGGTATTTTTAGTAGAGACAGAGTTTCACTATATTGGCCAGGCTAGTCTCAAATGCTTGACCTCGTAATCCGCCTGCCTCAGCCTCCCAAAGTGCTGGGATTACGGGCATGAGCCACCACGACCGGCTGTCTCCTTTTTTTTTTTTTTTTTTAAATAAAACAAATGTTCCCAACTTATTCTGAGAAATACTGTCAAAGAACTCACTTTGAATTTCAGCATAGCTGTTTAAATATGTTGTTTTTGTCTCATAGTCAACTTCCAATTTGTGTTTTTAAAAGCCTAGATAGGTTGAATTACTTTGAGCTGAAAACCAAAACAGTTAATTATGTCAGCTCCTCCGCATCCCATTCCCCGTATTTAAATTAGAAAATCGTACACTGTCGTATTTCAATTTTTCTTTTCATTTTGAATGCTCTATTTTATACAGAGCTGGATGTGACCTAGACATGGAGAAACTCATTTATGTCTAGCAGAGAAGCAGCCTATAGCTGCTCTGTAGCTGCTGCTGTGTTTTGGAAAATAAGCCAGGATTAGATTATGTCTGATCACTTTCCACATCACATGATGAACAGCGATTCAGAAGAAGCATAAAATGAATCCTGCTGAGCAGCCCCTCAGCTACCATGTGGTTAACTGGCGGTTTCCTTCCCTCCCTCCTGTGTGTTCCTCATTAGGATCTATGACTGAAGAGGATCGGCTAAGAGTGGTTCCTCGCAGCTTAAAGGGAGGGACTTTTCACACTCTGTCTTAAAATCAGAAGTTGAATTCATGAACACATATGATTTAGATAGAAGTCATGGGATGCAGCAGTTCTTCAACGAAAACCAGGAAATCTGAGACATGTGAGTACTTGGAATGTGCCTGTGGTTATGAATGAAAAGGGGAAAATGAACTGGCCTCACCCTCTCCCCCTTTCTCATTTACTCCCACGATGCTCAAGCTGCCCTGTGTGATTTGCACAAGGCATCATTAGAGGAGCATAGGAAACTACATTTAGGAAGATGTAGCTTTGAATTTATGAAGTACCATAAAGTATTGTCTTAGAGATATTTTATGATTGATTTAATTTCAGTCGATAATGTACCAATATAAAATCTCAATTTAAAACTCAGTGTCAGGGAACAAGAAAGACAGTGTAATTTATGTGTGTTTCTTCAATACTTTTATAAATAGCTATATCCCTACTTTTGTGACATTTAGTAGCATCATTGAATTTTTATTGGATTTTATAACTCAATGATCACATTATTTCTATATCTATTCAACACAGAACTTCATGAGATTTGCCTCATGTTTTAAAAATATTCTAGGAGAATTGGGAGAATGCTAGATCATCTGTTTCCAAAAAAAGGTGTATTGTTTCTAAATAGATGGCATGCCTTTCTCTACCCCCATATAATTAGAAGCTTAAATCACTTTGTTTATTTTGTACTGAGGTTCTTTCTCATGGCTATTGGCATCTAGTTGAAACAAACTTGAGCGTTTAGGGATAGAGTTTCCAACAAGCAAATTAAAATAAAAACAAGTAAATAAGCTGGGACAATCAGTATGAGTAATTTGCTCTTAAACTTCACTTCTTTGATGTCTAGGTTATAGGTAATTTCTCCAACTTCTATCCCACATCTTGCCTTTGGAAGTTTATTCAGGTTTAAGATGGAGAGTTTAGGATGCAGAGTGTGCTATACTAATTAGCGTGGGATGTTTTCCTTTGGGAATCAAATGTTATTCTCCTATCCAGCTGACTCGTGCTGATGATGTAGGAAACTCATCTCTGAAAGTAGGAAGGGACATAGGAGGTGTACTAACTCTTTCAAATCTTTAAGCATGTCATGAAATAACTCTTTCAAAAGCTCCATGTGAACTCTACTACTATAGTAGACATTTATTAGCTGAGAGTAAAGAGAAATAATCTTTTTATATCTAGGATTACTCACAGTTCTTTAAATTTAGCCAGATTTCTTAGGTTAAAAAAAAAAAAAAGCCAAGTCCAACTTGTAAAAACAAATTCTCTCTCTTTTTGAAAAACTTTTCAATTAAAAAAAAAAAGGAAATACTTTTCAACTTTTAAAACATTGCATGTAAGTGGAAATATTAGCTTAGATTTTTGGATTGCTTTCTCTTCCAAATGCCTGTGATTTATTGAGGTGAAATTCACGTAACATGAAATTAGCCATTGTCAAGTGAACAACTCAGTAGCAGTTGGTATGTTCACAGTGTCGTGCAAGCACAACCCCATGTACTTCCGAGACATTTCCGACGCTCCAGAGGAAAACCCCTTATCCATTAAGCACTTTCTCTCTCCTCTCAGCCCCTGGCAACCACAAATCTACATTCAGTCTCTACGGATTTATCTATTCTGGACATTTCATGTAAATGGAGTCATACATTGTGTGACCTTTTATGTCTGGCTTTGTCCATGTTGTAGCATGTATCAGTACTTTATTCCTTTTTATTGCGGAATAATATTTCATTATATGAATATGCCACATTGTATTTATCCATTCATCAATTGATAGACATTTGGATTGTTTCAGCTTTTTTTTTTTCTGTTTTTCTTTTTTGAGACAGAGTCTTGCTCTGTCACCCAGGCTGGAGTGCAGTGGTGCGATCTCCGCTCACTGCAACCTCCACCTCCCGGGTTCAAACGATTCTCCTCCCTCAGCCTCCAGAGTAGCTGGGATTACAGGCACACACCACCACACCTGGCTAAGTTTTGTATTTTTGATAGAGATGGGGTTTCACCATGTTGGCCAGGCTGGTCTCGAACTCCTGACCTCAGGTGATTCGCCACCTCGGCCTCCCAAAGTGCTGGGATTACAGGCGTGAGCCACTGCTCCTGACCTGTTTCATCTTTTTCACTGTTATGAACAATGCTGCTGTGAACATACGTTTTCCGTTCTCTTGGGTATATACACAGAAGTGGAATTGCTGGGTCATATGGTAGTTTTATGTTTAACATTTTGAGAAATTTCCAAGCTGTTTTCCCAAGTGACTGCGCCATTCTACATTCCTACCAGCAGTGTATAAGGGTTTCACTTTCTCCACATTTTCAGCAATAGTTGTTATCGTCTGTCCTTTTGATTATAGTCATCCTAGTGGGTATGAAGTGATATCTCACCGTGGTTTACATTTGTATTTCTGTAATGACTACTGACATTGAGCATCTTTTCATGTGTTTATTGGCTATTTGTATATCTTCTTTGGAGAAATATCTATTCAGATCATGTATCCATTTTTAATTGAATTATTTATTTTTATATTATTTTGTTGTAAGAGATATTTATATATTCTAAATACAAGTTTCCTATCAAATATGTGATTTGCAAATATTTTCTCTCATTCATTGGATTCTCTTCATACTTTCTTAATGGTGTTCTTTGAAGCACAAAAGTTTTTTTTTTGAGGTGGAGTCTCACTCTGTCGCCCAGGCTGGAGTGCAGTGGCGCGATCTTGGCTCACTGCAAGCTTCGCCTCCCGGGTTCACGCCATTCTCCTGCCTCAGCCTCCGGAGTAGCTGGGACTACAGGCGCCCGCCACCTCGCCCGGCTAATTTTTTGTATTTTTAGTAGAGATGGGGTTTCACCATGTTGGCCAGGATGGTCTCGATCTCCTGTCCTCGTGATCCGCCCGCCTAGGCCTCCGAAAGTGCAGTGATTACAGGCGTGAGCCACCGTGCCCAGCCAAAAGTTTTTAATTTTGATGAAGTTCACTTTATTTTTTCTTTGGTTGCTTGTGCTTTTGGTGTCATATCTAAGAATCCATTCCCGAATCCAAAGAGATTTATGCTCATGTCTTACTTTAAGAGTTTTGTAACAAATCAACGAGAAAAAAAAAAAAAAATTAAAAAGTGGGCAAAGGTCACGAACAGACACTTTTTTTTTTTTTTTTTTTTTTTTTTTGAGACGGAGTCTCGCTCTGTCACCCAGGCTGGAGCACAGTGGCTGGATCTCAGCTCACTGCAACCTCCGCCTCCCGGGTTTACGCCATTCTCCTGCCTCAGCCTCTCAAGTAGCTGGGACTACAGGCACCCGCCACCTCACCTGGCTAGTTTTTTGTATTTTTTAGTAGAGACGGGGTTTCACCGTGTTAGCCAGGAGGGTCTTGATCTCCTGACCTCGTGATCCGCCCGTCTCGGCCTCCCAAAGTGCTGGGACTACAGGCTTGAGCCAGACGCTTTTCAAAAGAAGGCATACAAATGGCCAAAAAACATATGGAAAAAATGCTCAACATCACTAATCATCAGATAAATGCAAATTGAAAACATAATGAGATACCATCTTACATACCAGTCAGAATGGCTATTACTAAAAAGTCAAAAAACAAGAGATGTAGGCGAGGATGTAGGGAAAAGGGAATGTTTATCACTGCTGGTGGGAATGTAAATTAGTACAACCTCTGTGGAAAACATGGAGATTTCTCAAAGAACTAAAAATAGAACTACCAAACTACCATTTCATCCAGCAATCCTACCACGGAGTCTACCCAAAGGAAGTCATTATATCAAATAGATACCTGCACTCTTATGTTTACCACAGCACTGTTCACAATAGCAAAGATATGGAATCACCATAAGTGTCTTTCAATGGATGATTGGATAAAGAAAATGTGGGGTATATGTATATGTATGTGTGGATATATATATAGTGTGTGTGTGTATGTGTGTGTATATATACATATGTATATATGTGTGTGTGTGCATATATATATATGCCATGGAATACTACTCAGCCATAAAAAAGAATGAAATCATGTCTTTTGCAGCAACATGGCTGGACCAAGAAGCCATTATCTTAAGTGAAATTACTCAAAAACAGAAAGTCAAATACCCCATGTTCTCACTTATAAGTGGGAACTAAATAATGTGTACACATGGGCATCCGGAATAGAATAATGGACACTGGAGACTCAGAAAGCTGGGAGGGTGGGAGGGGGTTGAGGTATGAGAAATTACCTAATGAGTATAATGTATGTGACTTGGGTAATGGTTACACTAAAGGCCCAGACTTCATTATACATGTAACAAAATTGCACTCATACCCCCTAAATTATATGTATTTTTAAAGACCAAAAAAACAGTTTTGTAGTTTTAGCTCTTACATTTAGGCATTTGAACCATTTTGAGTTGCTGGTTTTCACATATGGTGTGAGGTAGGAGTACAAATTCATTTTTTTGCATGTGGATATCCAGTCGTCTCAGCACCATTTGTTGAAAAGATTGTTCTTTCCCCATTGAATCCTCTTAGCACCTTTGTCAAAAATCAACTGACCATAAATGTTGTTTATTTCTGGGCTCTCAATTCTATTCCAATGGTCTGTATGTCTTTCTTATGCTAGTACCAGTGTCTGGATTACTATAGCTTTTTTTTTTTTTTTTTTTTTTTGAGATGGAGTCTTACTCTTGTCGCCCAGGCTGGAGTGCAATGGCACGATCTCAGCTCACTGTGACCTCTGCCTCCCAGGTTCAAGTGATTCTCCTGCCTCAGCCTCCGGGGTAGCTGGGATTACAGGCACAAACCACCACACCTGGCTAATTTTTGTATTTTTGATAGAGATGTGGTTTCACCATGTTGACCAGGCTGGTCTTGAACTCCTGACCTCATGATCCGCCCACCTTGGCCTCCCAAAGTGCTGGGTTTACAGGTGTGAGCCACTGCGCCAGGCCTACTAAATTTTTTTTTAAATAAAGTTTTGAAATTGGGAAGTATGAATCCTTCAACTTTGTTTCTCTTTTTCAAGATTATTTTGGCTATTCTGGGTCCCTTACATATCCATATGAATTTTAGAATCAATGTGTCAATGTCTCAAGCCAAGTGGAATGTTGACAGGGGTTGTGTTGAATCTG